AAAAAAAAAAAAAAAAAAAAAAAAAAAAAAAAAAAAAAGACAAGAAAAATACTATTAATGCGTGCTTTAGAAAGTATGACCTTTTCCCTCTAGACCACGATATTGATTTTATCACAACAGCTGTTACGGCTATCAAACAAATGGTTTTGAAAGGGCACGAACTCCAAAAAAAAAAAAAAAAAACATAAAATTTATTATAAAAATGAGTTTTCTTTCGCTCTATCCAGTTTCATGGCGAGATTCATTTTATCGCAATAATTATTCATATAGCCTATGGACCACTTGTTATACAAAAAAAAATACACATAGATATATACATTAAGGTTTTACAAAAGGCCTCAGTTTTCCTGAGTTCCATTAGCGCTGATTGTGGCATAACTTTTCCGCCCATGTTACAGCAGCACACAAAGTAGCGAAGAAAAAAAAAAAAAAAAAAAAAACAAATTAACATTTTTCTTTCCAGCCTAAAACAATTCATTGGCATACGTAGACTAACAACAAACCCCTGCTTGCGTCAATCAAGCAGATTGCATTTATTTTCATATTTAAATTCAAATACGTACAAGCAGGAGCTTATATGCAATGAAACAACAAAGCTATTGGAAGAAACTAACCCGCCCATCATTCAACAAGTACATCACAGTCTACATATATATACATAGATGTCACCACTATTGACGAAACCATATAATTTGTAGATAATGGCAAACCTTCCGACGAAGTGCGTCAAAATTTCTTGATATTTCGATTACGTTACGTTGCTAGTTGCAGTTGTTTTAGCGATGCTGCGACGTTATTGACTAATACATTAATTAAAGTGTTTAATTTCTGCCGAAATCTTCTCACTTTGAATGACCTTCATTTTTCATACCTTTCAAGTTCCAAAAATAGACAGACAAATAAGATCGTTTTACCCCCAAATGTTGCTATTGAGTGGGACAACTCTTTATTATCAAGTATGTTATGATTGGAAGGAATAGTTTCTGAAAGCGAATGCGGGCAAAGAAAACATCGTTTTCTGCCGATCGATATTTAAAAACATATATGTATATTATTGCGTTCTTTATTGGAAGGACACTTAACAAGTATATACAAAGCCTTTCATCAAGCAGACAGTTAAACTCTGATCATTCTTAACAAGCATTTAATATCAAAAGTTTCGGAATTTTTTTTCAAATTCATATAACATAAACATAGTTCCCTTCGCACTATCCGTTGGACTCATCTGTTTATTATTTGGTGGTCAGGGAATAATTTTGTATCGATTCTTTCTATAGATCCGCATAGCATTACTAACACTAGTCCTAACAAGTTGTACTGTGGCGCCTTTGACAATTGGCCAAATAGTTAAAAGAACAACATAACACAATGAGATTTATTTATTAATCCAACGTAAAGCAACTACGTTTTGAAAGCGAGCCAAAAATCTGTTAAAATTTGTTACATACATAAAGGGTATCCCAAAATTTATGCCATTTGGATGGTAAAGCGTTGCCAGTCTAAAAAAATTTAAAAAATCCTTCAAAAGCTGACAGCTTAGGTTAAGTAGAAATGGAAAAAGACTAAAGCGTTTTTATCGCTGACCGATTTTTCAAAAATAATAAAAGTGAGTTTGCCGGCCACAGTCTACGGCATTAAGCTCACTTTATATCAACGAAATTCAGCGATATCCAAGCAAAAATGATCAGGTAAAAGATCATGAAATTTAAGTGAGAGGAGTAGTAACGCAAAAATTTATTCGTTTAGTCGTTTTCGCTCTGAAAGTTTAGATAATAAATACGAATCTGGTCTGTTCGACCAATGGTGAATAAAGTCGATGAAACTCTTCTAAATGTTGAGAAAGACTCATAATACCGCTGCGGATATAAATATTCACTAAAACTAATTTTGAACCGTTCACCTAGACCTTAGTTTAATGAAAGCTTATTAAGTGACGCTTGAAAAGTTAATTGATCAAATTATCTTCGAGGAATTGTGACTGAAAGACAATAAACTCGGGCTATTATTGAAAGGATTGGCTTTGGGGGATGAAAAAATAGGACACACATGACAATAATGGATGAAACCGATCAGGATGGAAAATAGATAAAGTTACACAAACAGCAGCGAAGCCTGAATTGAGTTAAAACAATGCATTATGTCTTGTGGAAGGATATCGCGCAACATGGGTTATTCCAAACTGATCAAAAGATTAATTCGATTATTTTGTACTTTCAACCACTTGTGCGATTAAAGCATTTGCAATTGACTTGAAGCGTCCAGAACGCATCAATGGAAAAGATGTTATTTTCTAAACGACACATATTTTTACTGAATCGCGGAAAGATGAAAAAGTTTGGCTCCATAATTTCCATTTAGTCGCAGCATAGCTTGAAACTTTCTCCGTCTGAATATCTTTTGTAAATGCCTTTCACTCTTGACAACTTTAAAGAAGTGCTGTGAAAGTCACTTTTTTCAGTTTTTCGCCGACAAAGCAACGCATTCCTATAGTGACGGAACACTAGTAGTTTTGCCAGAAAAAAATTCCCAAACATTATCAATTAGAATGACACACGTATGTGTCTTTATAAAATTCATTTAAAATATTGAAATTTTAATGAAAGATTCCCTCGAAACCTCTCTAGTATGTAAAGGCTTCTACTACTTTTAAGGTTATTACGACCTAATAATTTTTGTTATTTATTTATTTTTTTTTTTAGTTCTTAAATTTGCTAAAGTTTGTTAATTTATAAAGCAAATCATACGTGATACGAAAACTTTTATAAATTAGTGTTTCTTTCGTGAAAAGATTACATGACTTATCAGCGTTGTAATCATACTGACATACGGCGAATTCATTATCGTATAAAATAACTCAGTTATGTATACGCAATTACGACACAAAAGTCTCAAAAGTGTAATAAAAATTCTCTCTCTAATGATCTTGCGAAGCGCTGGAAGCTTACCTACGATCCGATAGTGCATTACTTTAAGATAAAGGCACACAATATTCTATACGATCTCTGCTAAAGATGCGCATTACTAACACTACTAAAATTTGATTAAAAAAAGTA